TCTTCTGCAACATACCTGTTCCTGTAGAACTTGGCAATTGTCAGGGATTCTGTGCCCTCATGCTATTGCATGTTTGGTCTATGAAGATAAAGATCCTGTTTTGTACATTTCTGATGTCTTCTCAACTGAAAACTTCCGGAATACGTACAAGCATGTGTTACAGCCAATGGATGGTCCAAAATCATGGGTGCGAAGCGAGTATGAGCACATACTACCTCCAGATTTCAGAGTTATGCCGGGGAGACCAAAGAAAAAGAGAGTGAGAAGCGTTGAAGAAAATGAGGATCGACAAAGACAAAAGAAGAAAAAGGCTTACACTTCTCAAGAGTTGATGGCACCCGACAAGAATGATCCTTCAAAACTAGGTAAGACCGGGAGATTGATGATATGCAAGAGGTGTAAAACCAAGGGACACAACTCTCGCACTTGCAAAGCTGAGATTCCCACAGAGGTTAGTACTCCACCTTCTATTTCCTTTATAGAATTAGATTGTTTGCAGATTGTATATAATTGAATTCTTCATGTTAGGGTAATATTAGGGGAGCCAGTAACTCAAATCAATCGCATGCACGTGCTGGAACATCTGCAGCTGGGCAGGTGAGACATTTATGATTCTACTAGAGTGATTTCAATGATGCATGATCAGCAACTTAGCAAATTGTTTCATTACAGGGAAGAATACCGGCTAAGAAGAAGAAAAGCCCCTTTGTAGGGGTTGGTGTGCATCACGCTGAAAATGGTTTCATGGTGCTTGATGTATGTACTACACATGCCGTCTATATATTAGTGTTTTATTCTTTTGATTCTTCCTTATGATTTTCATTATCATATACAGCCGGGGCTGAGTACTAGAAGGGTGATTGAAGTCCCTCGGAAGCCAAGAAGTAGACATGGAAGTGGTGAAGGTACAAGGCCACAACAGAATGATCGTGAAGCTGGAGTGAGTTCAAGGCAAGATGGGCGAGGTGGTTGCGGCACTCAAGAGAGCACGACTACTTTTCGTTAGATTTAATACTTGATGTATTAGTCAATAGTTAGTAGTGCATCTTGAACCTATATTTTGGTATTATGTGTAGTGAAGACAGCAGACATGAACCTAGATTTTGCACTCCATATGACAATATTATGGATGGATTATGTTTGTTTCATAAGCATTTTTCACAACTTGCTGTTTTCTGGATTTTTTTGTACTCTGTGACACAATTATTGACTAAAGAAGTAGGTCATTAAGAGACAAAGATGCATTAACATAACAAGGAATCCCTTAATATCCATTACACAGAAAGTGATTACAAAGATAGGAAAAATGCATCTACATCCATTCTACATCAGCCACTAACTATGACTGCAATGAATAACAAGCAAATTAAAACCAACAAACTCACAATCACAATATACAACATATGCAGCTTCTTCACTGAGGTCACGCCATTTATTTGCCGCATAATCTCAGTGTGTTCTTCCGCTAAGATTTTGCTTCTTGTACGTAGAATGTCTCTTTCAGCTTCAACTTCTTTCACTCTTTCTCGAAGAGAAACAATCAGTCCTTTGTAATGTGGAATGTTCAATTCAGGGTCTTGAAACCTGAAAAACTTACAGCCTCCTTCCTCCACACAGTATAGATGAGCCACCACACAAGACAGTATTCAAACAGCCACTGAATCTCCAACTACAACAAGCACAAAGAACCTCAACCACAACATTCATTACTCAGCTGGTAAAGGTCAGAGCTTTTGAAAGATATAACAAACTCAACCAGCATTCTGCTGTACTAAGAGAACATGTTTAGAAATGAACACTGATCAGCTGGATCGACAATCTACCTGCTGCTACTGTTCTACTACATTATGCAGTTCTACTTGCACCAGATCAATGTGAACCAAGGTAACATGCAGAATTAACCCCAACATGCTAAAAAAAACCCAGTCCAATTGATTCAATTCAATCAGAACTAGCTCACTGATCAACCTGGTTTCTTCTAGCTTTAAAATTGAAATCAGCACCATGGGGAAGGGAGGGATTAGCTGTAAGTGGCCCAAGGCTGCAGCAGCCATTCTATGGAAGTTGTTGCTATGGGCCAACAAACCTGCTGTAGTAGCTAGGGATGCCGACGTAGCAGAGGAAGTTTACAAGTACTCAAGCAAGGCAACAACTGGCCGATCAATCAGGCCAGAGGCAGAAATGGCGGCAGCAGCTAAACATTTCTCCTCTGCCCATAAAATTCGGTTTGGCGGTTGATCAAACCTTACTTACTACAGTATGTGTAACTATATGGAATGGAAATGTCAAGCATGTTTAGTATTCATACAAGACACACCTATCTAATCTCAGAAGCAAATCGAGAAAGTTTTGCCAATTTGTGTTTTGGCAGTGCCTATTGATAAATTCTCATCATTTAGAATCATTTCATTACAATTGGTTCCGGACCAGAGACTGATTGATGTACGTTCTACTTGCACCAGATCAATGTGAACCAAGGTAACATGCAGAATTAACCCCAACATGCTAAAAAAAACCAGTCCAATTGATTCAATTCAATTAGAACTAGCTTACACTTAGGGTTTGAAAGAGTAAAAAAAAAAACAGATTGTTGGACCTCTTGGATTGGCGAGAATCAGGAAAGGAAGATGTACCTCGAGGGGGGCTTGCTTCTGTTCCAACGGAGGGAAGGAGAAGGCTTGCTCGAGGGTCGCAGAAGGGAGGCCGACTAGCTGGTTCTGTCTCTGCTCCGGCGGAGGGAGATGGTTGTCGAGGGGGGCTTGCTTCTGTTCCGACGGAGGGAAGGAGAAGGCTTGCTCGAGGGTCGCAGAAGGGAGGCCGACTAGCTGGTTCGCTCGCCGTCGTCGGAAGGCTCGACGATCGGGTCGTCGGCAGTCTCTCTCGTCGACCTGATAGCTCGAGGGTCTGCTAGAAGTGGAAGAATCGATGGGAATCGATGGGAAGGAATGGGTTCGGGTGAGACTGAATTAGTTAGGGGTAGTTGGGTAATTTCCAGCCCCCTTTAACGGCGAGAAAACGAAATTTCCAACGGAAGGGCAGGTCAGTTACGATGTAATAGTATAAGGGCATTTTTGTGCAAAATAATAGTACAGGGGCACGTTTGTTACATCGCCATAGTACAGAGGCAGAAAATGCTATTAACCCAATAATTAATTACAAAAATATTTACACATATGTTATCAAGAGGAATTTTACAATGCTATATAGTATTGGTGCTATAGCTTTTTGTCTTTATGGTACAACTTGAAATTGTACTAAAGTTATGGTACAACTTCAGATTGTACATATACTCTTTTGTACAAATTTTTTTATGGTACAACTTAAACTTGTACCTTTCATGTGATGGTGCAACTTTAAGTTATAAAGTTGTACCATAACATAAGGGTACAAATTCTTTTATGGTACAACTTTAACTTATACATTTAACATTATGGTACAACTTTAAGTTGCACATTAAAGCACCAATACTTTATAGCATAATAGAAGTATTATCAAATATAAAAATGTGAAATAAAAAACTATTTATCTTCTCCCTTTCTCCTCGCTAGTGCTCCTCCTCCAGCGACGAAATTGTATCCCGACTTCGGACTTGGTAACGCCACCGGGTACGACACAGGAAAGCTAGCGGCGGCGGATCGATGGCGCATTTGAATCAAAGTCGGTCGGCGTTGCCTTGTCCTCTCCACCACTTATCTTCCGCCTTCTCACTTCCCCAGGAAGAGAAAACGTCAACAAGTTTTAGAATAAAACACCGGCTTTTTCTTCCGACATCCTCATTTTCTCACCATCCCTTTTCTTTTTTGAATCGCTAAATGTCGCCATTAAAATTGCTAACAGTCGCCTTAACTCTAATAATAAATGACTTATATACCCCCAATAAAATTTCAAAATTAAAACAAACCAAACAATCCCTAACCCTTCAAACTGAACCCCCCATCATATCAACGATTCCAACTCCAGAATGACGATGATGGATTCTCTCTTTTGAATAATGTTTTATTTTCTTTACTAAGTGGTGTTTGTTTGCTAAAGGAAGAGTAAAGAAGCTAAAAGGTTAAATTTGTAACTTTGATATTTTTTAGGGCGACATTTAGCAATTTTATGAGCGACCTTTAGCAACTCCCCTTTTCCCGCCATTGATTTATCTTCTTTTTAGCTGGATTTCGTTTATCTTCCTGCCGAGATTTCTCTTTTTCCCGCCATTGATGATGCGTTCGACCAGTGCTTTCCTCGTTTTCCTGGGCTTCTTCTACTATCTGTTTTGAGGCTCAATGAATTTATTGATTTCTTGGAGATGCTAATTAACTTATCTATTGTGTAATTGTGTTGGATCACTTGGGAGTTGGGACCTTTAAGATATTAGGGGTTAATTGAGGTTTAATTATGAGTTTAATTTTCAAGTGTTATGTGTACAGAAAAATTAGGTCAATCATTCGTTGCCAAAAAAATTCGGTCTCGAAATTGAAAAAAATCTGATTGAAAATTTTGTATTTAAAAATGATGACGAGCTATACAAAAATTAACATGGACAAATTATATTAAGAAGATCATAAGTACATTTTTAAGTAAAGAAAAAAGATGAAAATGAGGATATCCCCAAATTTAGAGATGGTAGAATTGGAGCAAAAATGATGAAAATGGGGATCATCCCCAAATTTGAAGATGAAGGCCCCCAAATTTACGGACTAGCATTGAAGTTGGTCTAATAAGTTCATTCTGAGCGACATACAACATATGTAATGCTTATTTGGGAGGCTGAATTCTTTCATTTCTTTAGCATATAGATAGATAAGTGGTCGGAGAAGACAAGGCGACCGCAGCCGGCTTTGACTCAAATGCGTTGTCAATCTGCCGCCGCTAGCTTTCCTGGGTCGTACTTGGAGGCGTCGAGGTCAAAACACACATCCGGCCAAATTAGTCTATATAGTGTCTAGTTGACATCAGGATAACAATTTCTAAAACCATGGGTTAAAGTAAAGTAGTAAACTATTTGGATATAACCCAAAACAAATGAGACCACACATATTATGGCTCACCTAGAAACGAAGAAATACGATGGAATGACAGCTAAGGTTTTCTAAAAAAACAGCACAACAAAAATACACTACAACCTATAAAACCACTAACAAGTAAATAATACGACTACCTAGTAATTACACGATTTGACGACAAGCATCTTCTTTCTTCAGTCCTTAATCCCAAATGCAAGTGTTTCATTTCACTTCTAAACCAAATATGCTTTTACAAGTTACAAATTCAATTTTCCACAGATGTATGGCGACAGCTGAGTGGCCTGTTTGAAAATTTTCATTTCAATGAAAAGGTCTCACACAACTCTGCTCATCACATAAAGCCAAGCCTAATAGATTGAGCATCCTACAATTATAAAAGCTTTCACATGCACCTTCTTCACTGATATATTAGCTCGGCCTGATGTCAGCATGAGTAAACCCCAAATAGTTTGCTTGTGATCCTCGAACCCTATCACAGTTCATCATGCCCTTGTGGTTGTTCTTTGTTCATCATCTCCAGTTTATCCTCGAACTCCTGCGACCATTTCTCACACATCTGGGATCAGATTCCACTGCCTAAGAACAAACTCACTTAAAAAAGATTCAGGTCATATTTACCTTGATCTTGATTTCCAAGCAGAGAGCTGGAGTAGCAAAAAATGCTACATACCTGCCATGAAAAGAATGCCTAGGAGTTAGTTACTTGGTCCAAGATTAAGTTATCGTTTTCGCCACCAGATACGGAAAGAGACAGGTCCTTACTCGCAACGGCTTGGTTCATCTACATCTGCAACCTCATTCTTAGCTCCACACCTTAGCCTGACCTGTGACGTACAGGAGACATATATATGACAGTTAGTTTGCTGAAAATAATTGTGCCTAGTGCAGACAGTCGACAGTTCTGATCGTGTTTCATCAGTATGGACCCAATCGCACATGTAATCATTCATTGTAAGTGGAGAAATTCGAACAAAGTAGAGACCACAGAGTCAATTATAATTTCTTTCAGCATGGTTTGGATGATGCCTGCTGACTACAAACACAGGATGAAAATCGAGATACTTCTCTAATAACTTATTTCCATTGAATTATTCGCCTTCATAAAAAAAAACTTATTTCCATTGAAGGACATAGGAAGCAGACCCATTGACTTTTGTTCACAACACAACTAGAGGTCCCAAAAAAAACTTGACACACACCTTTAAACTTCTATCAGGCCCGTTCCAGCACTTATCACCATTTGAAAACATCATAGTCCGGTAAGAGTCCTCAAACTTGTCCCAGCGTCTACACATTCATCCAAGAGAAACCACCAGCAAAAAGTAGAAAATAGCAGTTTAAGCTCATTATCATGACCAAACGCATAATAGCTTTTGAGCATGTGCCAAACAAATATAAATTACTTCAAGATGGACGACCAATCCTACCCCAAGGTCGTTGAAGAGTGCCCTTCCACCTGCGAAGCTTGTTTGAATGGACAGATTTTGTATATATACCTGAAAAATTGCGCTCACAAAGAAAAATACAATTTCAAATGCCACAGTTGTATACAACATACCTGTGTACTAAATACTAAAAGGACACCAAATGCAAAATGTGAAATCCCCATCCTCTGCTATACAACTTTATTTATTAGTAGCAAGGTTTCCTTACTTGTCTTGCTTGCCCTCGAAACAGTTTCCATACAACAGATAGAACTCCTTCTCTGGTCCTGCATTCAAATTTCATGGTAATTCTTGCAGCATAAGGTTACGCTCGCTTTGGACGGGAGCAGGTAAAACACTATCCAGAGGTATGTCCTGTAGTAATACACTTACCAAAATCATGTTTCAGTTTCTTCGACAAACTTGAAATCCTTGACTCTATTTTTGACAACTTCGAACTGGCTTCGTCATATTCCTTCCTCACACGATCAGCCTCTAAAGAAGCCAGAAAAGAAGGATTGGAGCATTCAACTTTGTCAAAGGCATGCATAGCTACGATTTAAAAAGGAAATACAAGGAAACATAGCAGCAAGGCACCTGATTTATCCACTGGAGTTTGAAATAAATTAACAGCCTGAAGAACACTCTGAACGGTCTGTTGTATCTTCTCCAACCAAGATGTACTACTCGGTCTTGTTGTGTCTGTAAATGAAGTTTGTCAACCATAAAAAACTATACCTAGCCAATGAAGGAAATACAGCTTCAGTAGCAAGACACAAGACTATCATAGAGGACTGGTTTTAAACCTAAAGAATCTAGTTCATCATCAGATTCAGGTTTATATGAAGAAATATCATCGTTGTGGTTGTCCCCTTCATATGTATCATCTGTCTCATCTTCCACATCGACATCATCATATCTTCCAGTGTCATCAACATCATCGTCAGTTTCAGACGAATAACCACTGTCACCTTCACGATCGTTTGTATCAATTGCTGACCCTCCACTTTCTCCATGGTCTTCTTGATCATCATGCTTCGAATTTTCCACTTTATCTGTTTCCCGGTCGGAACTTCCTGTCCAGCGAGAAGCAACAAGGCGGCCAACCTCCTCCCTTGATAATTCTTCATTGTTTTCGGATAATTCATGCACCTAGAACCAAAGAGATCTACCAAATGTGAAAGTCTGACAGACTGCACCAGCCCCAGTCTATTACCAATGCTAACATTAAGGGTCAAAACAAAATATGGGCCATAAACAGAATAATTCGAGCATATGGCATTGATAAATGAGTTTCAGAAACATATTCAGTTCCTGCCAAACAACAATAGAGCATCTTTAACTCTCTTCAGTAAATCCAACTATGAGCTCCAATTTATTTTGAACCGTTTTAAAAAGCATCCATCCTGACCTCCGACAGGACAGACAACTGATGTTCATGCCTCTAAAGGTTGCTTTTTTGTCCCCATGTGGCAATAGTTACTTGCTTTCGGTCTAGCTTATGCAGGAAGCTATTTTTCCCACCCGAAGTTCTTTCGTACTTACCGTATGTAGCTTGACTTGGTTGTCCCAGTTCTGTTCCCAAATAAATTCTCTTGCTATCTCAGAACAGTCAACGGGAGGAGCTTGTGATGAAATTAGGTTCTTTTTCTGGTGACTTTTGTTCCTATCACACCTAACCCAGCTGTCAAATTATACAAGTTGGAGAAGAAGATAGGGACTCAAACATGTCCCAAGAGGCTGGATCTTAGATTCCTAGGCCCATGGCTAGGAATAACTGATTTTCCATTTTTGTCACTTTGTTATGAATGAGGAAAAGATCACTGATTCCATGGATTGATCATGAGACAACTCGTTGCTCCCATCATGGCCAGTCCCAGATGAAACTTGAGAATATTCCTTGCTTTGTGGTGAAACAGAGTCTCCTTCATTTTTCTTAACATGTTGGTGTACCAATTCATCTCATGTTCAGCTAGGTCATGACGTTGACGTTGACGTTGACGTATAACTTTATCCAAAACAGCTTCAGACATAAAACATTACCTGTTTCTCTTCATTTACATTAGATCCTTCAGGTGTTGTGGTATCACCGTGCAAGGCTTCAGCCGCAGTATCAGCATATTCCTGGAAATCCAGTTGCAGAAAATTAGAGTTAAAAATTACCAATAACAGTCTTTTAACATTATGAATGGCTTATCATTTGGACGAAGGTCCACTGTCACTCAAAGAGTGTTCATTAGGCAGACACCTATTCATACAAACAACTGCATGAAATCCAGAAAAGGAAATTCATGAAGAGTACAATAGGACAATCAGAATTTACAGGCAATCCGCTTTTAATCGTAAACATGGAATTGCTCACATATACTTTCATGATTACCAAGGAAAATTTATAATGTATGTTACCAAGTAACCAGTATTCCCCTTTGGTGACGAGTACGAGAGGGATGAGGGGAAAAGTGGAAGAAAAACTGAAAATATAGAACCATGAATAAGTAGACAAGCTTAAAGAAGGTTTGAGAAGCTAAAAGAAGGTAGAGTCTCAGACTCTTGAGAAAAAAGTTATATTTCCTCAGTCAAAGGGTATGTGAATGATGTTCATGGTAGAGGAGAATGACAATGAAGATTCATGAAATTGACTCATTTAGTGGCAAGAAGTATACTTGCTTTTATAGAACACCACGATTAGCAGACAGGTGAGAAATCCTATTTGAAGTTTGAACAAGGAGAATAATGAGCATGCTCATAGAAAGAAGAGATTGCACATTCAGAGTTACCTACGGTGCATCCATAGTTACCGGCCCCTATCTCAAACAACTAAGTCCCAATTCTACAATAAGAGAGCAAGATGCATGCAGAAAGAACAGATTGCACAATCCAACTGCGAAGCAAACAGCAAACTAATCTACCTGCTCAGCAGAATCATCCAAGATGCCAAATCTCTCGTCACCTGAACTCTGTGAGCCTTTCTCTGCACCATCCAATTTCTTCTGCTCAGCTTCTTTATCCCAATCTCCACTCTTCCCTCCGAGAGCCTTTTCTTCTGCTTCTTTTTTTTCTTTTTCTTCCTTTTCTTTCTGCAGCCGTTCTCTCTCTTCCGCTTTCTCGATTTGTTCCTTTCGGTCTATGGTAGTTTTGCCACCAGAAAAATTCAAGAACACTTAGCTCTACATACTTAAAAATGTTCTCAAATGTAGGAGGTGGTTCCCATTTTCCATTATGGCAGCGATATGGTGATGGACACTTTTTTGTGAAGGAGCAATTTCTAAGCGTAAGATAAAGTAAGCATTATTAGAAGTATACCTTTTAGTTGCTGAACAAGGCCTTTCAGTACACTCCCCTCGTTTTGAAGCTTTGTTAACTCCGCCTCATCTTTGGCAAATGCTATCTTTGCTTGCTCAATTTCCTGCTTTCTATAAGTCGCCCCCTCTTTATAAGTAGCAATCCTTTTCTTCAGTTTATCCCTAGCTGCTTTTCCAGCCTCCCAACATTTGTTCGTGCATTTGACTTGGCCATCATATTCGTCACTCCCATCACAGCAATCTGCATCAGCACATCAACAAAGAAATAAGAAGTTTAGTCAGACCACAGTCAGGATCACAGGAAAGCTTCTAAAGTGATACAACAACAAAACAATAAAAGAAATGCATCTACTTCACGAAACTATTACATTCATCGGAACTCCCTAATCGGGATCATTTCCATTTAGACTCAAACCAAGAGGAATATTAACTTTGTACTCTGTGTTTCCTAGGTGGAAAGGTAATAGTAGTAGGTAAGTTAATGAAATTGAGGGAGGTTCAAAAAAGACTGCTGGAATGAGAAATCATAGGCTAGATGGTTGAGAGTAATAAAAGGTATATGTACCAAAGGGTATCGATCAAAACACTCGGTCTTCAAAAGAAATGAATTCAGCGATTTCAGCTTCATACATCTCAGCATGCAATGCATTGCTATGAACAAGGACATTACCAGATGGTGGGCGGGGAAGGTAAATGCATTGCAATAGAAGCCATTGAAGAGGGAACATGCTCACTCACCGCAAAAACCATCATTGACTCGTGAAGAGAATAGGTAAACCGGAGTATGTCCGGCATTTGGACAGTAGAACTTCCCACCAGGACAGGCTGATGTGCCTGCAACTCATATGGCACAACACGAAGACATGAATGAACAACTTCAGACGAAAGAAACGAAGATCAGTTGGGGGATAAAAACGAGGGGTAAAAGAAAGACCAGGTTCATCGGTGGCATCAGGGCAATCGCAAAAATCATCGTTGAGTTGAGCTGTGGTGAAGGTGCTGGATCCGTCTCTACATTTTATGATTTTTCCGGATGCCTTGTAGTAGCTCTCATCTGTGTTACAAAGAGAGACCATGAAGAAATTCAGTAGATAAAAAGGGAAGATGTATAGATGAGGTGAATACAATAAAAGACGGAGTAGGAATCCCAACCCTGAGGAGGGATTCCGAAGAATGGGTTCTGCGGCACGGCGGCTGATCTCCCCATATACAGCAATCCCAACAGCAGCACAGCTGCTGCCGCTGCTGGTGTCACTGCAGATGCTGCTACTCTCATACTTCTTCTTCCTCTTCTTCTCCGGTAGGAGGACATCCCAGATTTGATTGGATTTTATCAGTGTGCGTGCGAGACCGTCACTAGACTGACTCACTTCCTACAGGTGTAGGTTAGCGACTACTGTCGGTCGTTATTGCAAACTTGAACTAAAAATGGCCGGACGGCCGCCCAGGATTATCTCGACCTAGAGCTCCGTCAGTCAGCTCAAAGCTCTGTTTGGTCTCTGCAAATCAGAAACTGTAGCCGCTGAACCCCGACTATGCTGCAGACTGCAGGCGCTCGCTCGCTCGCTTTCCAGTTCGGAGTGGGCACTGCTTCCATCCCGACTCCCAAGCCCAACCAAACCCATTAAAAGGGCCTCTCAATGGCCCAGTCCATTAACAAGCACAAAATGGGGGACCGTAGTAATACATTTCATGATCAGCTCAATCCACCTGTCCTCAAAACCCATTCTTCTCATTACCTTTTCCAGAAAAAACCACTCAACTCGATCATAGGCCTGAGGGAGCTCACCATTATTGAAAAAATTCGTCACTGTCTCAATCACTTTTGGTCCGATCATATCCCAATTTTTCTAAAAGAAACCTGCAGAAAAACCATCAGACCCCGGGGCTTGATTCCAAACAAGTTCTATTTATGTTATTTGTAAAGAGTTCTTGATGGATAATATAATTGAAGGTAATGTCTATTTATTAAGCAAATCCTTTTTCAATTCTTTTATTTTAACCAAACCTATTGAAATACTATTAATTAGCCAAACGTATTATAATCGATCAAAGTATTGGCTATCATTCCGTTAAGTATTTTTTAACGGTGCTCCATATCAGCGTCGACCTCAACATCCACATCAGCGTCCAATAAAATAAAATAGAATAAATCATAAAAATAAATTCTAAAACACAACATAAAAAATAAACAAAACCATACATCGTTGCCGCTCGTCTTCCCATTCTCATCCCAAGCCCACCGCGACACTATGTTCTTCCTCAACTACATACCTTGCTGAATCGAGCTCCCTTCACCATAAATCAAGCTCCCTTCACCATAAAAACAAAAGAAAAGGAGGTAGAAGGAACAAAGTCTGCGATGATTTCCTCTAAGGCCACTAGATCTTGAGACTTCCAACTGGTGGTGCATTTTGCTCCGACGGATACAAAGGATCCTCCTAATCGTACTCGTTCAACCCCAGGTAACCTTTAGCTTTGGCTAAAATAGGTTTGGCCAATAGGTTTGGCTAAAATAAAAGAATACAAAAAAAAATTGGGTAATAAATAGACATTGCCCATTTGAATAGCTAGAATTTTATTTAAAAGAACATGGATTTTTTTTGCATTGAAAGGAGGCAAAAGCCTAGAAAAGAGGCAGGGGATCCAGGAGGAGATTAGAAGGGGGAGGGGCGAACAACTATGCGGCGCTCAAAGGTGGTACCTAACATATCATCCCAAAGAATGGTAGCAATGTCGGATGGCTGGTCGACTAGCTCTTGCATACCGTAAGGATATACGAGACCGTGCTTTGAGAGCTAGTCTGCGACTCTATTCCCTTCGTGGTATGTATGAATGATGCTGACTAGCCAATCGCGACCAAGCTTCCTGCGGACTACAAATAGTTGGGTATCATAAGGATGAATAGGGTCAGTTATGTTCTGAATTAGCTGGATTGCCAATTGGGAGTCGGTCTCCACTTTAACTGCTCTATAACCAAGATTCCAAGCCTGCTCCAGACCATAGTTAAATGCCCAAACCTCAGCATTCGGCAAGTGCAGTTGTGGCCGATCCAATGTTCACAACAAAGCCTCCAAGCCACTGACCAGACGAGCTCCTTATCGCTCCACCTACTCCGACCGGTCCAGGGTTCCCATTCAAGGCGTCATCGATGTTCAGCGTCCCGTAGTCGTCCCTGGAAGGTGACCACCCTATGCTTACAAGTTGTCGCCCCCCGGGTGAGGTCTGCTTGTCAGGGAGAAGATCCAAGGCGTGCCACGAATCGTGCCACAATTTGGTCACCGATTCTTCCAAAGGAGCCAAATTGCCAAGCTAAAAAAAGTGGTCCAGGCAATGCCAGAGCAGAGCTTGTCGAACCTTCTTCCAGCAGATTCGCACGCAACCATCCGCTTGTGTAACATTAAAGAAACTTTGATGTTGTTGGGTTGAAACATTACGCTAGTACACAACCAGAAGAAAAGGCGGGAGGGTAGTTCCTCAGAATGTGGGTGATGGTTTCCGCCTAACCTGAACATCTTGCACATACAAGATTATTCGCAATCTTCTTGTTGAATTTGAGGACGTTGGTGACGATCCTACCCAAGAAAGTCAACCACATGAAGCCTCTGACTCTTTCCTATACTGGGAGACGCCAAATGATCTTCCAGATTTTCTCATCAGAATTCGGTTGACGCTGGTTAATCGGGTTGAAAGCCAACTTGGTAGAGAAGCGCCCATCAGCTGTTACCGACCAGAAAAGCTTATCATCCTTCTGCAATAGTTTGTCCACTGCAATGCTAAGGATCCCCTAGTGCACATTAGTAGGAAGGAGGCTGCTGAAAAGCTATGTCCTCCAGTTTCCATCATCGCGCACAAAGTCACTTACCGGCGCCTCCTCCAGCTCGCTTGGAATGGTGCCTAAGGTTACATCCTATAAGGGAACCTGCAAAATCCACGGATCAAGCCAAAATTTAGTGCTTCTTCCATTCTTAATATTCCACGTGCACCCTTTCTCAAGTAGGTGTGCAACTTTAGCGAAATTAGACCATGAACATTTGTTGAGAAGACAATGAACATTTGTCATGGAGTATGCGTAGCAGGATTGTGTTTACACCTAAAAATTATTTTGTACCATATTGATGAGCTACAAGGTAATTAAAGGTTTTATAAGGCCACAATAATTAATTCAATTAATGTTATTTAAGTTGGGCCTTATGGATATTGGTTTTAAGCCCAAGCCAGCAAGTAATATGAGCATGAACATGATTCAATGAGGGACATGGGCCTCTTGTAGGAAGTCATGTCATGCCACGAGATAGTATAAAAATAAACTAAATCTGGAGTGGCATCTGCCGCCTCACGAGGAGGGCCATGTCCGTCTAGAATCTAGAAGAACGTGTCGCCTCACGAAGAGGGCCTTGCCTCTTCCTCCTTGAGCCCATGAAATTGGATGGAGGATGTAATCAACTGGATCTAGCATGGTTTGATCTCAAATTTGTTGGCAGGGATGGGAGGATACTGGATGACTGGGCGGATGTCGGCGATCCATGGAATGTAGAAGTACTCCATAGTATGCCCCTAGGGAGGTGGTTGATGGTTGGCAGTGTCTACCTGCGGAATGCCATCATTAGGTGGGACTTGATTCACTAGAGGGACCTGGAGGGGCATCCTTAGAGGCTGTCCCTGATTCAAGTTGTTCATTCAGATGTTTTCGTCTCTAATGACTCGATATTTGCACATGTTTTCCCATTTGTTTCTTGATTGTTTGAGCTTTAATTATCACGTCTTTGGCCTATTTTACGCTAGATTGTGTTCCTTTGTCACATTTCAGGTCCTAGCACATAAAGTGAAGCATAGGCGCAAGTTTCAAGTCAACCAGAGATCAATTGGCGATTCGGGAGAAGAAACTCGGGCATGACTTGAAGAAGAATGGATTTCTACATCACTTTATGGACAAAGAATCATGCAATCTTGTCATGAAAAGAAATAGGACGAGACTACGAGCGTCTAGGATCAAACAACGACTAATTCGGAGTCCTGACGAGGGAGAAACGAAGCATTGAATATAGGGGAACAGGTTCGGCAGTAAAAACACGAGCAGACTACCCTAAAAACACGGCCGTGTTTTATCTGGCACCCGCTAGTGTTTTTACTGCCGAGGGCGTGTCGTGAGGGCTGATGGGGGCAAAACACGAGCGGTCAAAAGTAAAACATGGCCGTGCCCTCGACCGTGTTTTGCCCAGAATCGGGTTTTTGAGGCAGATTCAAGCCAAAGGAAAGGGAGAGCTGGGTTTTGGATCACAAACACCCAAGGGACGAGCCAAAGAGAGAGAGGGCGATTTAAGGGCATTCTAAGAGTGGAATTGGAGGATTTCTTCACCTTGGAAGCTCGAGGAACAAGCCCGGACTTGAAGACTGATCATCTGAAGATTCTTACTTCAGTCTCTCTCTTCTCTATGGAGTAACTTCCCTTCACTTAGGTTTTGAGGAACCCTAGCTATGTTTGTTTGATTGGATGACTGTATGAGTACTCCTACTTGATAATTTTGAGTTCATATTCAATCTATGCACGTTTTCATGATTCAATTTTGTTTTAGTCGAGATTATTGATTCTGCTTTGATCCTATGAGAGCGAATACCTGATTAGGTAAATAGAGCACCATAGATTGATAGTATTGGATCGATTGCTTTAGTCGAGGGTTGATTCACTGCTTTGTATCGATTGAGAGCCTCTTTCAATAGAGGGAGTCTAGTTCAGAACGCCTTGATCAGTTGTTCTAGAGAAGGATACGTCCCTCTAGGCAATTGACTCAAGAGGGCCTTATTCCTTTAGTCGAGACTCAAGGTCTAGTTAAGGATTCTCCGCATTGTGAATGAAAGTGAAACAAGTTAGAGATCATCAATCATTAATCTGGCTAGTGGCTAGGGGGAATCATACCTAAGTGAGTTCCCAACCTGTAATTAGATTAACTTTAACTGTAGTTTGCTAGAGTAGTTTTAGTTCTTTCATCTTAATCTGGTTTGCTAGATAATGAACTGAAGCTGAGTAATAGTAACTCTAGAGACCCGTGGATTAGATATTTATTACTTGAGCCACTATACTGCAGTCCCTTTCATTGGTTACACTTGGCCTTTGTCAGGAGTTGTGTTATAGCGAGTCAGTCTCCCATGTCGTCGTCCTACTCGGAGTCACAGCTAATCCGATCGTCAACCTGTTCTTCCGCCATAGCAGTCTCGTTCGCCGTGCTTTCTTACTCTGGCAGCAAGTTAGCTCAAGTTCCGGGTTTAACGGTAGTAATGCTCCCCATAGGCTACATGTCATGCACTATCTGCATAAAGCTAAGCAAGCAAACCCAGTGAAGGAAAAAGTGGGAAGAAGCAAACAGAACAATGTAGAAAAGAAATGTTAAAGTAACATAAACCACGTTTCTTCAACAACCCAGCTATCCCCGACAACGCGGCCAAAAACTTGACTCGCTTTTACTATCGCACTAGAAAGTGGTCAGGTGTAACCACCCACTAATGCGTAGTGTAGTGGGTTTAACTTTATTTGTCAACCCAGGTCCTAGGTTTGATGACTACCCTGCGAGATTCTCGTTATCTAGTTGTTTAACAG